ATTCTCAGATAACTGCATTAATGACTCATTAAAGAACAGTACTGAACTTCAATATCTGAAAGAAAATTCAAGCTTGACCACAAGCCTGTAAAGAAATTACTTCCTTTTCATGACACACTCTAAAGCATTGCAAAGAAGTTAAATTGAGACTGGGAGCCTTTTGTGGAGAGAAGCACAGGTTCAAGTGAGCTCATAGATCTCTTTGCTGGTTTCAGGTAAGGCAGGGATCTATCCTCCAAATCTAAGTTACAGAAACAGTAAGAAACAGAGAACATTGATAGACCAGCACACAGTTTGTGACCAAAGCATTTTGCTCAACTGAATTTGTTATCAATCCAAGTTTTAAATGATCCTCTTGTGTACTTTTTATGCATCTTCAAAATTAGGCTAGGAATTTCTTAAGGATGCCTAAGTAAATCAGATACCAAATATTCACCAAATTCCACATGTAACTTGGAGAGCTTCAGAATTTTTTACCTAAGCTGTTGAATCTTAAGTACTAATAAAATACAGTCCACATCACCAGGACAGTACTGTGAAAAATAACAGAAGTGGCAACATGTTATATGTAAATAGCACCTTCTGTCAAAAGGCAAAGACATTTTAGGAATAGATGTTAAATAAAGTGACAGTTTAGTTCCATTACTCACACTTAGTAAATGAGAAAAAAAGGCATGGATAATTCAAGCTGTCTGAGAAACATAATACAGAAAGCCATTATCAGAAACAACACTGAATATGGATTCCAAGGGCTTCTTTCCCTGGTGTTTGCAAAAAAAAAGGATGCTTTGACTTAAAACTACAAGTCAATTTTAGCCTATATTACTCTGTTCAGTCACTGCCTCCCACTGCTTTTAAGTATACCTGTGAACTGGTACCTGTTAAGTGAAGTCAGTCACATTAAGGTAGTTTATCAGGATTAATAATATCCTCACACTTCAAAAGAGAAGTAAGGGGGGGGGCATAAAACAAAAAAGCTCCATGCTCTGCTGCTTTATGCTTTTTACACTTGGCTCAAGTAACTGCCATCAACTTCAGCGCACACAACTCTGGTTGTGCCAAAGAGCTGTTCCTGGATTCATCCGAGTTCACAATCACATCAAAATACTCCAAAAAGCATTCAATATGGTACAGCTTCTCAGGTTGGTACCATCAGTTTTTTCACTGGCATGATGTTCCTACTTTCTGGCAACCCTTAAGGAGCATTGGTTATGAAGCAGTCGCACACATGCAAAGATATGCTTGTATGACTTGAAAAAGAGATAGCCCACCACAGAAATTCTTCTTTTTAAAAACAGTGACGTTCTTGGGATTTATGACTTGTTTTACTGTGGTATTATAAAATGGAACACTTTGAAAAGCTCTTTTCTTAAAGTTGTCCTTTAAGTAACACATTTCAAAGCAAGTATTTTCATCTTAAAATATCACAAAAATGGAAGGACTCAGATGACCCCAAAGCAATATGTTTTAAGCAAATAATAGTGCTGTGGGACTACACACAAGCATGCCATGTTTTAAGTGAGGAAAAATAAGCCACAATTTGGTCAGCTTTAGTTAACTTCAGACACAACTTAGTGGAGCTACACTAGAAATGATTGCGGTATGTCAAGTCTTGTTGGGACTTCAAACAGACTTGACGTAGCTCGGTTAGATGTTAACAAGAGGACAAATCTTAGTTCAAGATAGTTTAGGAATGAAATAAAACTGATTAGTAAAAAGCTGTATATAAACAAGAACAAGAGCTGGGGACAGCAAAACTAAGTGTCTGTGATGGCTGGTAAGAAGACAATACACTCTGTTCCTGAGTTTACAACAAGATCAGATGAGGATATCAAATCATGTAGTTAATAAACCAAATTCTGTTAGTTGTATCAATAAACACACCAAAACATGCTCAGCTGCATTAGTCCATTCGAGAGGAAACCTTGGCCAAAACACACTTCAATGACACCGCAGCTAGTAAAACAGAGCACTACTGTAACTGTGTTTCTACAGCAAGAGCCGTGTACTTATACTCAAGTCAAGAAACCAAGCAGAAAGGTCACCATCCTCTACTAAATTCTCCAGTACTTTTCCACAAAAGTGTTATGAAAACATCCCCTTCTACATGATGTTTCTAACATTATGACATTACAGCTTGAGGTATTGTGGTCATTGAACAACCTCTGTGTTTCAGCAACTCCTGTACCACAGGGAATCATGCTGGTACTATGTAGTACATGGAGATATAGTCTTCATCTCTTTTCTTTCATTTGATATGTATGAGTAAAGTTTCAGCAAGAATACATTAAGATAATTCTTGTGCAGAGTTTAAACAAATGTTTCTGATAGTATCTAACTTGGTTTTGGGTTTTTTTTATTATGACAGACACCACTGGCTATCTACACAAGAAGATCACTAAGAGGCAGGAAAAAAATTATTACATGTTCCAGATGTCTAAAGGATTTTGTGTATTTTATTTACAATTCTTTTAAAATGTTCTGACCAGCTTCATTTTGTCTGTTCCCAAAGAGCAGGGAGCACAGGAATGTATAGAGTCTTTAACTTCTTAGAAGAAAGGCATCAGAAAAGCAGTGTCCAAAAAAAAAAATCCTCCTTTTACTCTCTTGTTTAGGTTTTACAGTTACTATTGAACCTATTAGATCAATATTAATAAAAATTATAATTCATCTGGCTTGCCAGCAGAAAGAAAATGAAATTTTATTTGATCCACTGTTAATTCATTCCAGATAACTGCCCAAACCTCAATCAGCTTCAGGTTAGAACAATATTGAGTCCAAATGCTACAGTTTTTTTTCTTATTGTTTAAAATAATTTACAAAATATAAGTTCTTACTCAGTCCTAGAACCTCAGAAATCTTTGAAAGTGATGGGGTGTTCAGGTTAATCAGCAGCTTATTCTTAACAACCAAAAGAACAAAAAGCATTTTAACAGGAAAATTTAATTACTGAAATCCTCCACTGCCCTTAGGAGAACCTATTTACAATAAATTGACTGTCCCTTACAGTATTACAGTGAAAAAAAATAATCAAACCACAAGGAAGGAGTAGGAGTTTTGTTTCTTGGGAGGATTTTTACAATTGAGATATTTAAGGTAAAAAAAACCTCCTATGACTCAATACATAATGTACACAAGAAACCACACTATAACAATTCTTACAGAAAGGATAATAAAATTCCTTGTGTTTTGTATATGTGGATAACACGTATGCCTAAAAGTTTATTCTGGCAGGGTGTTGAATTTATTACTCTATGACCCTCCTTCTCAAACCAAGTATTTTAACAGAATTATTATCTATTTATAAGAAAAGATGGTACCAATTCTTGCACTATGACAATAGAACAGCATTTACAACCATTTTCAATTTCAATTCCTCAACAAATTCTCAACAGATGTAAGAAACATGCTGCATAAACTTAAGTTTATTGATGAAAGGTTTTATTTCCTAGTTGTCTTACGGAGCTCCAGTACTAAGAGACTGTTCTTATGAGTTTATAGACTGAAAGTTGAAAAATTGTTTCACTAGGAGTAAATTTGCAGTAATTACACTCACTTATGGAAGAATAATTTGCCAGATTTTCTTTAAGTACTGTATATCTTCAGACAACGACAATTTCAGTCCAGGAAAAAGAGAACACAGAGCAGAATACACTATTAACCCTAAAATCTTTGAAGAAGTTGTAGAATTCTCACTTTTGGGAATCTAAGGATTTGTGGAAGAGGAGGAAAGAAAACATGAGTAATCATCCAAATCTTATCACTCCTTTGTTTCAGAGTAATGCAGTAGCTGACTGCTAGAAATCCTTTTCAGCCTTGCAGTACTTGACATCCCTACAGCACTTGGCATTACCACCACACTTTTGTGGTTTCATTAATAAGAAAAAAAGTTGTAACTGCCCCATAAAGAGTACAAAATAATTAAATGTCAAGGCATGCTCACAACAGAAGAATCTGTTTCATAGTGTTAATACAACTAAGCTAGCAGCTTTACTCTCATTTCAGTAAAAATATATTCTGCATCTCCCTTGCTTGTTAGTAAAGGAGGATTTTTTTATCTTACTCCATCAGGTAGCTGCAGATGTATTCCTGAGACTTGCTCTATTTTTCAGCTTACCCTGTTCCATCCTGAATGTCTATGACATGGAGTTATTTGTGTAGCACACATGCAGTGTAAATAATTCCAACATACGCAGTAGTTTAAGAGAATTTCAAAATTATGCATAATAATGATTTCGCTACTGAGGAAATAAACACCAAGTTACATGCTTATGCCTACCACAGCCACCCAGTGTACAGCAAGGAGTCAGTACCAACACTTTTCAGTGAAATTAATGAAGGTGGACTTCAATATCCAGCTCACACATTAGAAGGATGAGAGAGTTTTACATTCAACCCCGACCTTTCAAGAAGTTATTCATGCAGTAATTACTGAAAGAAAAGCAACCTTACTGCTGCATCAGGTATGGGGCGGTTTCTCCCTCATTACGCTCTATTCGCAGGCAAGGAAAACAGATGTTCTTACCTGGAAGACCTCACGTCTGAGCACAGCCGGTGCTGGAGCCACGAGCATCCCTAAACTGATCAGCCCTCAGCGCAGGGCTGGGGCAGCGCTCAGCCTTCGAGTGCTTCCCGGGAGTGGGGACCAAGCTGTCACAGACGCGTGGCCACCGGTCTTTATGCTTATAAAAATGTACTAAACACCGGCACCCACGCACAGGTGTCACGGCGCGTCCGTCCTGGCACCGGGGCCAGAGGCGGGGGAAGCGCGGGACGCGCCCGTTCCCACCGTGGGACGCATCTCCCCGGGTCCCCGGGCGAGGGGCTGCTCGCCCCTGCCCCAGACCCAGCCCCAGCCCCAGCCCCAGCCCCAGCCCCAGCCCCAGCCCCAGCCCCAGCCTGTCCCGCCGCCCCGCTGCCCTCGTGGCACGACCCTCCACACCCAGGTCCGGAGCCCGCTTTAACCGGAGGGAGGGGGAATGCGGGGCTGGGGTACTCACATGCCAGATGGCGAAGAAGATGAGGGCGGCGCAGAGCACCAGCGACAGCATGTAGCAGAAGGCGGCGAAGGTGAAGGCCATGGCGGGGAGAGCCCTCCGCGGCCCCCTTCACCTTCACTTCACCGGGAGAGCGGCGACCCCCCGAGATGCCGGCGTGGCGCAGTGCCCGGGCAGCGCCGCACACGCCGCGGGGCCGGGCGGCTGCCGCGCCCCCGCAGCCGCTGCCGCTCCGCCGAGCCCGCCCAGACCCCCGCAACGCCCCGCGGCCGGGACACCCCGCCCGGCCCCTCCGCCGCGCCCCCGCCCCGCCGAAGAGCCGCGGTGGGCGGCCCCGAGGGGCGGGTTCCCTCCGTGGAGGTGCGGCGGGGGGTCGGGGCTCGGCAGTGCGGGGATGGAGGGGGGCTGCTGCTGCCGCTCGGGTAGCGGCTGCTGCCAGCGCCGCGTGTTTCTGACTGAAATCCTGTCACGACAGCGTGAGAGGAAGGAGCGTGGGCTGGGATCAGTTCAGGCCAAATCCTGAGGAGATAATTGTATGCCTAAACTTGAAGTGCTTTGGTGGACGGGGTTTAATTATTGTTTTTCCTTTCAGGGTCAGGTAAATCCGATGATTTACCTCTCCCCAGGTCCGTGGAGAGGCCAGCCCTGGAGCGTCCATCCTCTGATGGAGAGGGGACAGGGACCCAGCCCAAGATCTCATGAACCGCCGCGGAGTAGCTCAGCAAAGTGAAATCAGTCCACCCTTTCCCACAAGGTGAAAAAGACATTTACTGTTGGAGTAAATAAAGACAAGCCTTTCTGAAATGCCATCAGCGGGGAGAGTGCTCTTGCTGGCTTTCAGGTGTATGCAGTACCCAAGTTGCTGAAGCACACATTTAAAACAAGGAAGGATAAGTTCCTGCCTTTGCACCTTGTCTTTGACAGTATCCACAGTGTCTCCAGACACAACTTAGCCATTTCTACAAGAGATCTGTTTTAGATTTACTATCAAAAGTTTTTCCACTTCTTTGGAGCGCATCAGCTGACGCAATACAGGAGGTTTGCAAGCAAAAAGTTTTCAGGAGAAAATGCCACAGAACCATGAGAAGTCCCATTTAAAAATATTTTGAAAACCAGAGATGAAAGCTATATATTTGAAACTGTCTTACGAAACTGAAAAAGAGTTTTAGCTCACAGCATTTGTTCTACCCTTGTATGGATTGAAGGCGGTTCAGTAACAAAACTATGTAGAAATTTGCCAGTGGTTACCTATTAAAGTCAGACTTCATGGTACAGGAGATTGTAATTCGATCAAAGCCAAGTCCAGTGGAAGCTTTCTTTTGAAAAGTTTACAATATATTCTTGTTTAAAAGTATGGTATATTATTTTTAACATAATATACACTTTTATCCTGAGGAAAGAGTGATGATTTGAATCAAGAATCAAGACCGGTAATTAATAAACCAATCAGGAATAAACTGATGGATCTAACCTTTCATAATTGAGCTGCTCCAGACTGTACGTGTGAACTGATGCTTTAATTAAGAAGGACAGAACACAGCAAGTAGTAATGAGCTTTGTGTCATAAAGGGGTGCAGTAAATCCATTGTAATTGTCTGACCTTTTAATTTTTTTGCATCTGAAATCCTGCAGAGCATATGTTTGTGGAAGTAAATGGTTTATTCATAACCATACATTTTGAAAAGAGTAGTAAATGAGGTACAGGAGTTGTGCTTGGAAATATTTATTTATTTTGTCACAGTTACCTCGGTATCTGGATATATATTGCCTATGTTAAGATTCAGTACAGAAAAACTGATGCTTCTAAGAAAATGAAAATAAAACATTTGATTCTGGTGCACTTATATGTATACACCTGCACATATATGCACATCTGTGAAAAATATAAATATACTCTAGCTATCATGAAAGACAGAAGTGGAAACAACCATTAAATGTCCGTTTAGCATCACACTCCAAGGTAAATATTCTGCTGTTTTTCACTGTCTCTCACCTACATTCCAGCTATGTATTTGGAGCTCTTCATCGAACACACAGGCAAAACACTTATTTTTCATTTTGCAAGACAGTTCGACAGCCAAAGACTTCCAAGATCACAGAGTCTTTCCTGGTACTGATTTTGAAACATGCATTGCCCCTGGCCATATTGCTAGCCATTAATCATTGCCAGTGGCTGTCAAATTACAAAAGTTTCTGACATATAGTGAAAGGAAAAAATCTATAAAGATGCATTTAGGACACTTTTGTCTTACTGAGTTCTTCTTACATAACACCATGAGAATACCTTAAGTATCCTCAGACGTTTAAGTGATGGAGAGTGATGGAAAGATATACCCTTCACTCAGTACATCTCTGATTTGTACTCAGAGATTTGTCTGAGTAATCACTAAAAAGTCTTCCTATCTCCATCTTGTTACAAACTCATTGCAGCCCTCTGTGGTTTGAGGACCTCACAGCAGGGTGAGGTTCCTTTGTCATTTATGAATGAGACTACTGCAAATCATGAAGCAAAAGGCGAAAATAATATGGATGTGCCTGACCGTTTTCTCCCTGGTTTAAGCCCCTGTGAACACAGCAGGAACACCAGTCTATCTATTAGCTCCCCATATACTTCCATGGTCTTGGTCCTAACCTTCACATAAACTAACGGATCTGATCCTGGCTGCATGAGAAATTACAGTCCAGCACCCAGCTGTGCTCCTTTGAAATAATGTATATCACAGAGACCAGGACAGAGGGTGTGGGAGCTGAGGATGCAGCATTATCCTCTGAAGGGATCTGGAATAAGAAAATAGAAAAATACAGAGTATAGGAAGTAGATTTTATGTATAAAAAGTATTTTTTTTCCTTTAGGAAAAACTGTTGTTTTCAAAAATTGTTATTTTAACACTTCTTTTCCACAAATAAACAGAATTACATCCACATGTTGAGACGCACATGGATTTCTTTTTTTATTACTGGAAATAAAAAGCTCAGAGGTTCTGCAGCAGTCTGTTAGGCAATCCAGTAATCCTTGCTCTCTGGTGTTCAGCAGCTCATTTTAACAGCCATGGTCTCAGTTTAGCACCTCATCTTTCACTCTTCTGTCTTCAAAATCTCACAAATGCTCCTGCTTCCTCCATACAAGGAGGTATTCCCAAGCCATTTCCAGAAGGGACTGCTGTTCTTACTCCATGGCACACACCTGTAACCTGCGAATGCAACAGCAAAAATTAGTCAGAAAGGACCATGAGATAAACTGCAGACAAAGTAGAAAGTCAGTAAGAAATTAAAAATAAATTATGTACAGATTGATTAAAAATTGGTTTGTAGTCTCTCCTCTCATCTTCAGCCAGGGGCTATTCCTTTTAAATGTATTTGTTGATGGGTCATGTAAGGTACTTCAAGCTTAATAACACTTCCTAGAAGAAGTTTTTACATGAACTGGTTTTGTGGGCTGTATCCCACAGCACCCACAAGCAGATCATGGTAGTGTGTTTGTAAAACCCGTGGAGAAAGATGTCTTACGAAAGACTGTAAAGGCCTTGCTTTCTTTCACAGATTAAGTTTCAGAATGCTACAGCTATCACTGTTCAGATTTGGTACTTTTGAACAGTAAAGAATTTGTCTTTACCATGCATATTTGTTGGAAAATATGACTGTAATACAGTCTGATCCCAATTTCACACAGAGCCATCACAAGAGAATAGGTGGTGGTGCTGCTTTTGTACAAGAGATACTGAGATGCTGATTTTCAAAGCTATCACTATTCAACTATGATCATAGGTCGAAGCACAAACATGATTTGGGATTTCTTCACTTAAGATGGCTTTTTACTTTGTGAGGACCTCTATGAAGGGACCAGAAAAATTCAGTCACTAGACAAGTAATAACGGAGTTCATCTGGTGAGCAACAGACAGCACTCAAAACCAAACAACATCCAATCGTGAAAACAGACTGTGAAAACAGATTTAATAGATTCACGAGTTCAGGATGTCCTTGCATTAGCAGGTCTTGGAGCACTTGATTTTATGGGAAATGACCTTTTGTGCTAGATAATGAAAGAATTTGAAGGCACTGAAAGAAATTTCCAGTGGCTAATTTATAGAATGGCATCAGAGATGAGAGGGGATTGCTAATGAGTCCTTTCAACTCCCAAATAATTACCTCAACTGTATAAACCTAAAGGACGAGTCTTTAAAAGACCAATAGTCCCCGAAGTAAGAGGCTAAAATCACCATAAATTCACCAACAAGGCGATGATGCACTCTCAGCCAAGGTGGTTCATAGTTCTAGGATTCATATATTATTGTTACAATGTATAGTTTTGAGTGTAACATATTACTGAGTGCCTGCTAGAGTAAAAGCCATTACATTAATTATAGGAGAGAACTGTAATTCATAGATTAAGTATTTTTAATAATACATCTGACTCTCTCTTTTGTGAAGCTTAAGTCCTACTGAATTATTAACAATGCTTATATACAAATTGCTATCATTGGGCTTTACTGATAATATCCCACAGAGATTAATAGAAGCATTTCATAGTCTTATGCATTATTATTTCAGATTATCTGCAGATTCCAAATGAAATGACTCTATTACTGCATGGTCAGTTCACTTTCAAAAGGTTACCTTTGCAATAATAAAGGCAAGTGACATTTTGTTAATGAAGTCTTATTTTCAGATACCAGGAATGTGATAGTTCACAAACCCACTGACAATAATCTCATTTTACTGCCAGCAGTTCCCACCTTCTTTTGTAGGACCTGGATGAATAAATTTTAACTACATTATCACAGGATCATAGAAAAGTTTATGTCGAAAGGGACCTCAGGAGGTCTCTAGTCTGACTTCCTGCTCAAAGCAGTGCCAAGTCAAGGTCAGACTTGTTGCCCAGGGCTTCATCTGGTCAAGTCTTGAAAACCTCCAAGGACAGAGATGGCCCAGCCTCCCTGGGCAACCTAAACCACTGCCTGTCTCAGGTCATCTTCAGCTGAATAGGTCCCAACCTACATAATTTCCAGGGCTTATTCCTTCCTTAGTACACAACTTTACATTCATCCCTGTTGAAGTTTTTAAGGTTCCTGTCAGGCTATAAACTCCATGTTTAATTACAAAAGCATAGATTAATATTCAATACAGAAATGTTCCTAAATAGCAAAATAAGACTCTTCAGAGCTTGACACTTCGTAGTGCTTTGCTTCTACTATTCACTTGCCAGCCAATATCAGAATTACACAGTATCACACTCATGTCCGTCATGGCCACTGGCAAAACTGAGGCTTAAGATTTGCAGCTCAGATCGCTCACCTGAACTGAGTGATCTCAGTAACTGTTCTGTCCCATGGTTTGATTACCACAGAGGCACGACACACATTTTGACTCTGCATGTTACTAGCTTGCTAGCAAATAGAAGAGTGTTTGTCATCAGGGTATCTGTGAGTTTTTGCATTATCTGCAGGGTTAGTGGACCGATTCTGTGAGCACAGATATCGCTGCACCTCTCGATTCCTAAGCTGTGCTTTTCTGCTCTATTGCTCCAGCTTCCTCCGCCCCTCTACCGCACAGTTCTTTCCCATTAGCCTGTCTTTCCCTTATCTTCTTGCTAGTTTATACTCTCCGCTTGGTCCATCTACTGCCTCCCACTCCCTTAACTCCTCCAAATTCAACTTTTATCTTCTGGGAGTTCATCAAGACTGCTTCCTCACCAGTGCTGAAATGTCTGACAGGATACTAAACACTCCAGAAAGACAGGATCTCTGCTCTTAGTTCCAGGACAGAGTAGCAAAAAGCGAGTTGACAAAGCAATTGCAGGGGAGGTCCTGCTTTAAAGTGAAATGGAATGGGGAAAGGATTTGCTTAATTTCAACAGTTCTCTAATAACTATGTGTGACATTTTCAGAAGGATTAGAATTAGCCAAAGACCCTAAGTATTCATGGCAGCAGCGGAATTCATGTTCATCTTTCAAAAGTCACCTCCTTCCAGATGTGAAGTCCTTCCAATAAATACATGAAAGGCAGGAGCCTTCTATAAACCAGTAGTAAGATTTTCAGCATTGGTGGAATAACACATCTACTTTTTTTTCCAAAGAACATTTTTGTGAACTGTTCAAGACCCTTAGTCTGGAGAGAAAGCATAACATAAAAATGAGAGCCCATGCAGGGAGTAGAAAGTAAGGCCTTAACTTATATCTGAACCAGTCTTAATTGCCTTTGACATTACCTAATATCCTTCAAATCAATACATGGAAACTATACACAAGGAATGCTTGCTAACATTACTTAATCCTGCCAAGAAGGAATTTAATTTGTGTTTCCGCTGGGGAGGGAGTGGGTTACAACTTTATCAATTCTGAATAACTGAATTCCATCAAAGGAATGAAAGAGGAATATCAAATTTTCTGAATAAGTAACTTATGAGAAATCCTTCATCAGTCACTGAAGATCCTGCAGAGCTACTTATGCTAATAGGAAAAATTGCATAAAATATGCATTTGTCCAAACACTGAAATAACATTCTGAGCCAAATTCCTCTGATTTTAAAGATGTTTCATTTTTTCCTACCCCAGAGCCTGTAACACTGCTAATCTACAAGCTCTGCTGATGCTCTCCACACCTTATGGCTCCATCATTCTGAACAGACATGCCAGAACAAAGACAAATATGTGATGCCCTTCAACAGTTCTCCTTCTCAGAGGATGATTAAATTCTCTCATACGAAACTAAATGCTCTTCCTGTTTGTCTCTTTTTCCTGAGACTGATACTGAATGCTCATCCCTGCTGTCCCAAAAACAACAATCTGGTGCAGTAAATCTAGACTTAGTGTCTTTGCTATAGTTTAGAAAAAAATCAGTATTTCACCAAATTGACATATATAACTGAATTAATGGTATTAGTCATTTTCAACTTGCACACATAAATGAATAGTTACAATATGGTCTGCATAAATAACAGTGTTGACTAATGAATATATAAACATAATTTTATGGCTGTATTTATTCAGTAAAGTTGTTTTTGATGCAGTTTTATGAGAGGTGGGCACACCTATGATGTAAGAGGAAGGAGAGGCCATGCAGACATACAGCAGCGTGTGCTGCAGCAACAGTAGGAATGGAGTGGTTGCTGTCAGCTAAGTACCCTTATTACACTGCCTCCTTGTCTTCAAACTTGATAAATTAGTATCAAGTTTGACTTACCTCTGTTTAAAGGGAAAAAATAAATCAGTTGCCCAAAAAACATGACTTGTATTATTAGCACATCAATAACAGAACTCTTTATCAAACACTAAATTTAAGTAAAGACTGTCCGAACTGATCCCCTAAGCTTTTGTAACTTTGAAACATATTCCCCATATTGAAGCAGAGAAAATAAAACCCCTATAAATAGGGATATTTTTAACTATAGGAGAAAAACTAATGATTATAGCACTCTGTATCACTTAGAATTTCTAGTCACTTCAGCTAAAGTCCCTTATAAAAACTATTTTAGCATTTGACAACAAGTACTGAAGAATTCATATTGTAAATTGGAAAAATACCAGAAGAAAAGCTTGGGGGTGGCAATGGAGGAGTAGGAACATGTTTAGCAAGAAATCTCATGAGAATGCTGTTCTGGAAGATCATTCCTATTCTAAATATAAACCTTTAATACATTAGCCATCTTGGCTTTAACATCATATAAAATATTTCCAGTCTGAAGCAAAACCAGCAAGACAAGATCATTCTCTGCAATCTACCCATCTCTTACAAAGAACAGAAGGTTTGCAATTCTGGTTGGAGGTTCTAGCGGATTTTGTACCACAAGTCTCCTAGTTTGTGTTCTGCATGAGAGAAAGAACACCTTTATTGTGTGAGTGACCACGGACCAGAACAGGTTGCTCAGAGAGGTTGTGCAGTCTCTTTCCCTTGAGATATTCAAAAGCCATCTGGACGCAATCCTGAGTAACCTGCTCTAGGATGACCCTGCTTGAGCAGGGAGGTTGGACCAGATGACCCGCTGTGGTCCCTTCCAACCTGACCTATTCTGTGATTCTCTCGCTCTTTTTTTGTTATCTTGAAATGTCTAACTAAACTTGCCTAAACCATAAGGGTCAGATAAGTTGCGGTCTAGATCTTTAGTTTACTCAGGATGCCAAGTGAAATACTCAGTGTAGCTCTAGGAGAAACAGTGTTTATGATGTCATAAGTAAAAAGTCTGCCCTTGTTGCA